CATGGAAAGCTGCTGTGGTTCCTTGATGAGCCAGCTGCCCGTGAGTTAACATGTCCCGCGGGAGAAGCACTCTGTCCTGTAAAGCCTCACCAAAAAAAGGAGTGGTGTGTTTAGTATTGTTCTGACTGTTTAATACCTTCCGCGTCTCCTATCAGTGGACGTGTACACGGCATTGATTTTTATCTAAGCTGTAAACTTTTGCATAGCAAAGTAGATTCACTGCCATTGAAAAGGAGTGCATGGCGGTGGTGTGGGCCCTCAAAAAGTTGCAACCTACTTGTATGGACAACCGTTTACCTTACTCACAGATCACAACAAATTTGGGGCACTGCGCGGTCAAGCTAATGTGACACCAGATAGGAGTGGTGTGTTTAGTACTATTTTTATCAGTTTAATACCTTCCGCGTCTCCTATCAGTGGACGCGTACACGGCATTGATTTTTGTAACAGGGAGATGGAAGAAGAGGCTTGGTCGGTCCTCTTACTGCAAATTTGGGGCACTGCGCGGTCAAGCTAATGTGACACCAGATAGGAGTGGAGTGTTTAGTACTATTTTCATCAGTTTAATACCTTCCGCGTCTCCTATCAGTGGTCCTGATACACACTGACACAGAGCAGAATAGGGAATGTTACCCCAACATAGGGTCACTTGGCAGATATGGATTGACACCTGTCCTCAGAGCCCCTGATACACACTGACACAGATCAGAATAGGGAATGTTACCCCAACATCGGGTCACTTGGCAGATATGGATTGACACCTGTCCTAAGGATCCCTGATACACACCGACACAGAGCAGAATAGGGAATGTTACCCCAACATAGGGTCACTTGGCAGATATGGATTGACACCTGTCCTCAGAGCCCCTGATACACACTGACACAGAGCAGAATAGGGAATGTTACCCCCAACATAGGGTCACTTGGCAGATATGGATTGACACCTGTCCTCAGAGCCCCTGATACACACTGACACAGAGCAGAATAGGGAATGTTACCCCAACATAGGGTCACTTGGCAGATATGGATTGACACCTGTCCTCAGAGCCCCTGATACACACTGACACAGAGCAGAATAGGGAATGTTACCCCAACATAGGGTCACTTGGCAGATATGGATTGACACCTGTCCTCAGAGCCCCTGATACACACTGACACAGAGCAGAATAGGGAATGTTACCCCAACATCGGGTCACTTGGCAGATATTCAGAATTCAACATTAAAACTGATTAAAATATTTTTTTTATTACACCAGTGGCTGTCTGGTGCCGATAGTGTGCTCTTAATTATGTAAAAAGGACAGGATAAGTAATGAATAAACAGTAATATTCCAAGTGCTGAAAACAAACTCAGCTCAACTAATCAACCCCATTGGGGAATGCCAAAAACAAGACAGCTTCCAACCCAGATCATAAAATAAAAACATACCTTTTTTATCATCGCCAAAATACTCCGATAATAAACATAGAAGGGACAGCAAAAGAGAGAGTCGTAACGGACTCACCCGTACTCCGACCGAGTACCTTCCGTTGATGGACGCTTCCTCGCTTGAGTCGAGGACCACAATCACCGCACTGGACACCACAACTACCGCATACTCCACAACCGCCGTAGCTTAACTGGTAGTCTCGCCATCTTCCTTACACTCTGGATCAGCTTCTGTCCTCCAGGACCATGTGGGGAAAGACCTCTTCCTTCCAACCGGTATGAACCTCCGACAACCAGGACGGTGTTGGGAAGACCTCTCCTCCAGGAGAGCGTATCAGGAACAAGCTCTTAAAAGAGCTTAGTGATTAGTGCTCAAGGGAGTATGCAGAGCATAGCAATCCCCAGTGTGAGTATAGCAGTTACCCTCAAATCACAAGATAAGACTACATGTTAAAGGGTCAAACAGGAACAGAATGCACTGAGGCTTTATTGCTCTTATATACACATTTTCCAACAAGGTTACCACCCACGTGGACCTTGTTGGATATTGAAAACATAAGCGTTCCAACCAATCATAAACAGACACACAGTTAAACACATACATTACAGAAAACTCCTCTCCTCTGCCTGTGATATAATTACTGAACACAATGGGCTAACGTAATTATCACAGGCAGGAAAATATACAGTTTTACACAATATTCATAACTTTAAAACTATACATGCAATTTTAATAAACATTTTTAGAAACAGTATAACTAGGGAACAAACATTTCCAAATTTCATTCAATTTGGTCCAGTAGTTCAAAAGATAAATGGAAGTCCTATTGGCTTTCCTGCCCAAAAAAGTTCCATAGATTTGGGCTGTGCGGTCGGTCTATTACACATAGAAAAAAAGACTAAGTCCCATTCGAATGCACGAACGGTTTCCGTTCGTGCAAATATCCCATTATAACGTGGCGTTCGAATAGTCGAACACCGTTCGACTCTATTTGAATGTAATAGTTCCAGGGAAAATAAAACTTCAGCGGTGTTTGTGCCGTTGAGTAGCCAATTTCAGTTCCACGAACTCGACGGCAAAACACCGCTGACCACATTCGGCTGAATTCAAATGGCCACCACCACGTGTTTGGTTTTCCGAATGGCGGCCACTTCGACTGTGCGGCACTTCGACTGCATCCGAAGTGCCATAACAAAAGTACAGATCCTTACCCAGTGCATTTAAAGGGCCAGAAATAGTCACATAAAAGTCCATAAGCCCAAATAGTGTTTTTAAAGGGCAAACTCTCCCAGGGGCCATAGTCACAAGGCAAGAGGCTGGCAATTAGTCCTCTTCAGACACAAGTGGCAAACGTCACTTCGTCACAAACGTGGACCAGCTTCTAACGAGTTTTGTGCAATAAGTGCTTCATCCGAGAAGACACAGGTAAGTACAATAAAATTGGGGAGGTGTAAGGGAAAACACACAAAAGGGAGAGTCATCATACATAATTGGAATAGAACAATTAAATCCAAAGATTAAAACATTTGATTTTATAAGGTACTTAACCAACAAGTGATGTCAGAGAAAGTCGTATTGAAACGTCGTGACTAATATGGTGACTACCAACAGATTATTAAATAGCAAATTGTGGTCAAAATCCACTAAGTAGAAAAAGTAAAGATATAAACATTATTGTCACATTCCAGGGAGCATAATGCAGACTGACGGCATTAAAACACTATACTAAAACCACGGACTTGCTACATTAATACAAACATCAAACAATCAGATTATAAAAAAAGTAAATGTAGTAATTATAGTATAACCAAGGAAAAGAGTGGCACAGGTATTTAAAGAGAAAGTGCATACGTAATGAACGATCTCAGGTCTTCAACTATATGGGACTGTGTCCAGCAAGCAAATGAAAGGGTTAAAAACCATGAGATAGATGTTTGCACAACCTATATAAACGTTTCATTATCTACAAAATAATGTAAAATGATTTACACTGGAGAAGGATTAAATAAAACACAGACCAGGTTATTTATAAAGTGAATTTTAAATTTAAGGTCGCTTTCAGTTCAGCTGCTCTGGACTTAAATTTAAAATGTATTTAGAATTCTCATATTCGTGAATAACTCTCTGGAGTGATTCCTTTTGTCCTCCTCCGCCTCCCAGCAGAGGTCCATAGAACTAGAGAGGTCCAGAAGGTGCTTGCGAATTGTTTCACTATGGCTCCCCGAGATTCGTTATCTTCTTTCTCTGTTATTTTATTTATAAACTGTCGACATATCCTCCATCGCTTTACAATGGAGTAATAATACATACAAGGATACGATGGTAAGTGGTTTTAGGAGAATGGTCTATGTAGTGTCCACAGCCATGGTTATTGCTTATTCTATTTGCTCCACATCAAGAAGCTGTATAGATGCAGGGCTCATATCCAATTATTCCACTGAGATGTATTACTATTATTTATTATAATGAGGTTGAAAAATGTTTTCTTTAATGATATATTATTTATCTAATTTCTCCTGATGAGCAGTAACGTGAATTTATTTAATGTTAATTTATTTGTGCAAGTTGTGCTGGTCACTTATTATCATCATTTGTCAATATGTAAGCGTTCAATGTCGCTACGTATTGCTCTAACAGAGTCCGGTAAAGTCTTCGTAAGTTCATGAAAAAACATCAGTGGGTCCAATCTAAGAATAATAAAAAGATGTCAATTTTAATTTTCACATTTCCTTTAAATATCATATTTTTGTTATAAAAAAAATGCAGTCCCCTGGCCACATAAATACTGGCCATATAAATACTCATTCTAAATTACTACTATTAGGTATTGCATTTTAAAAACTCAAATGTGTTAATGTTATAGATTTAGGAGTGGCCATTTGTGCATTCAGTGAATTATTACCCAGACTTGTATATGGAGTCAATTGTCAACCTGTATTACTATGGTAATATATGGCATATTCCATGATGGGTTATTCAATAAACCGTGATTTGCCCAGAATTGTCCAGAATTATCCAAAATTGAATTTAGTCAATTGAAAACTGAATTGTTAAAAAGATTAATTTTAATATAGCCAAGGTGTGATTGTAGTTGAGTTATAGAACTGTTTTCAAATCAGAACTTTCTGCTCTTATTTTGCAGTTTGGTTTTCAATTTACTACAACATTCTTTGAAGAGGAAAACAAAAATAAGGAAAAATATTGAACATTTACACTTGAACATAATAACAAAAAGATGAAAGGAGGATGGAAAAGGAAACTTATTTTTTTAAGATCCCTGATAAAGGACACTGACCATAGATTGCCACAACAACAGCCCGTCACCTCTGATTGTTGCTAAGGCAGAGAAGGCTAGAACTGTGATTATACGAAAATCAAGGACTTGTTTTTTTGCAAATTTGAATTTTGCCTTGAATTCCTGGCAATTTACACTTTAGAGAATACAATCTACTCGGCACTGGACATTTTAAATCTAAATTACAGGGTATTCACTAAACTGAGAGATGTCGAGAATTCAAAGTGAATTTTAAATTTAAGCTTTGCTTTCAGTTTTGGCCTTAAATATCAAGTTCAGTGAATAACCCTGTAAGTATTTGGATTCAGAATGTCTACAATTTGCTTTGGGATAAGTTGGCGAAGTCTTACGATATAAAGAGATAATGACAGTCTGAAATACCTGATCATGGAGCTCATCAAAGAATGTTCACAGACCGAGTCCCTGGACTTCTCTCCGCAGCATGAATACGCACCGTCTGTGTAGGTTCCGCAATGTGACATGAACAATCCAAATGCAAGCTCAATGTCATATGTATTGAGCTTGACTGTTTCATTGTTTAGGGTTATGTTCCCTGTTTTATCTGTCAAGGATTTAGGAACAGAATCATCATACCCCAGAAAATGAGCAACTTCGTGTATTAAAGTTCCAGGGCGAGACTTGATGTCTAAGGATTCTGATTGTTTCCAAAACAATGGACACAAATAAATGACTCTGTCGCTTAAGCTACTATAGACGTAAGCTACGGTTCTGTCATTTCTTGAACTTTTATTCTTCTTGAATGACACTTTCTGGAGTTCATCAATGAGCTGTTGAACGAGATTTGGACTAATGAGTGGAAGATGCCGACTTAATTCACTCAGCTCTTCTGGTTTCTCTACCAAGAGATGGTCTTTTTTCTTTAGAGCATCAGTCAGGATATTAAGGGTTCTCCGTTTTGCTTCCTCTGCCTGTTTCTCCTCATCCTCACTCAAAACAGATTCATCTGATATTCTCCATGGCCGTTCAGATATCGAACAAAAAGATGAAAGGAGGATGGAAAAGAAAATGTTTTTTTGTTAATTAAGATCTCTGATAAAGGACACTGACCATAGATTGCCACAACAACAGCCCATCACTTCTGATAAGTGCCAAAGCAGAGAAAGTTTGTAATATTAAAAGGGACATGCGAAGGCTAGAAATGAGATTAGACAAAAGTCAAGGACTTGATTTTTGCAAATTTAAATTTTACTTTGAATTCCTGGCAATTTACCCTTTAGTGGATAGAATCTGCTTGGCACTGGACATTTTGAATCTAAAATAACAGAGGATTCCCTAAAATGATATCGAGAATTCACAGTAAATTTTTAATGTAGAATGAAAATAGCCAAACTGAAAAAAATGTCTACAAGTCAGATTTGCTTTTAGTTTGGGCCTTAAATATGAAATTCAGTGAATAACCCTGTAAGTATTTGGATTCAGAATGTCTACAATTTGTTATTGGATACATTGGTGAACCCTTATGATATAAAGAGATAATGACATTTAGTCTGAAATACCTTATCACGTAGCTCACCAAAGAATGTTCACAGACCGAGTCCCTGGACTTCTCTCCGCAGCATGAATACGCACCGTCTGTGTAGGTTCCGCGATGTGACATGAACAATCCAAATGCAAGCTCAATGTCATATGTAGTGAGCTTGACTGTTTCATTGTTTAGGGTTATGTTCCCTGTTTTATCTGTCAAGGATTTAGGAACAGAATCATGATACCCCAGAAAATGAGCAACCTCGTGTATTAAAGTTCCAAGGCGAGAGTTGAAGTCTAAGGATTCTGATTGTTTCCAAAACAATGGACACAAATAAATGACTCTGTCGCTCAAGTTACTGTAGACGTAAGCTACGGTTCTGTCATTTCTTGGACTTATATTCTTCTTAAATGACACTTTCTGGAGTTCATCGATGAGCTGTTGAACGAGATTAGCACTAATGATTGGAATGAGTGGAAGATGCCGACTTAATTCACTCAGGTCTTCTGGTTTCTCCACCAAGAGATGGTCTTTTTTCTTCAGAGCATCAGTAAGGATGAACAGAGTTCTTTGTTTTGCTTCTTCTGCCTGTTTCTGCTCATCTTCACTCAAAACAGATTCATCTGATATTCTCCTTGGCCATTCAAATATAGAACAAAAAGATTAAAGGAGGATGGAAAAGGAAACTTTTTTTTGTTAAATAAGATTTTTTAAATAAGATCCTTGATAAAGGACACTAACCATAGATTGCCCGTCACCTTTGATTGTTGCTAAAGCAGAGAACCTTTGTAATATTAAAAGGGACATGAGAAGGCTAGAACTGTGATTAGACAAAAGTCAAGGACTTGACTTTTGCACATTTTAATTATGCTTTGAATTCCTGGCAATTTACACTTTAGTGGATATAATCTGCTTGGCACTGGACATTTTGAATTTAAATAACAGAGGATTCACTAAACTGATAGATATCGAGAATTTACAGTGAATTTAAAATTTTTGGGGAAAATAGCCAACTGAAAAAAATGTCTCCAAGTTAGCTTTGCTTTCAGTTTTGGCCTTAAATATGAAATTTAGTGAATAACCCTGTAAGTATTTGGTTTCAGAATGTCTACAGCAAGCATGTCACACTCAAAGGCTAGCATGGGCCACAAATATGTGCTAAGTTTATGTATGTAAATGCGAAACCCCCAAAAAAAAACACCTTACATTTTCATGGGAATGTAGGTTTGTTTTGAAAAGTACAGTACAATAAAAAACAGCACCCCCCTCTACTAAAACCCAGTCCCACTCTCTATACTAAATCCAGGTGCCCCCCCTCTACTAAATACCAGCACCTCTCTCTACTAAATCCCAGCACTCCCCTCTACTAAACCCTGGCCCTTGTTTACAAACAAAACAATATTAGCCAACAAGCAAACTCCACTCATATTGCCACTGCCAGTATGCGACTCCGGAGTCCAGCCTCTGGTATACCCCAAATGGCACTTTCCACACCCTGTGCCAAAGCGGATCCTCATGTTACTCCTTGAAACCCTGTGAAGATGGAGCACGTTGACATCACGTCGGAATGTGACGTGGCGTTATGTGCCTCCGTGCAACTCCAGGTCCTCCACTGTCCAGCTGCAGCCATCGCAACACTGACCAACACACACTCACTGACAGACACACACTCTGTCAGACACACACTCACTCACTAACAGACACACTCACTGACAGACACACACACTCACTTTGACAGACACACACTCACTGACTGACAGACACACACTCGCTGACTGACAAACACACACACACACACACTCACTCACTGACAGACACTCTGACAGACACATACACTCTCTGACAGACACACACACATATTCAGTGGCGGACTAAGGGGGGGGGGCGACCTGGTAGGGGGGTGGTCTGAAGGCTAATGGGGGACATGTGAGCTGCACCCCATGGCAGCTGGGGTGTCGCACAACTCACATGGAGAGACCAGAAAGCTGAACTGGCCGCACGGAAGGAAGAAGGGGGTGGAGCTACAGCCATTTAGGGGCAGAGCCTATCCGAGAGGGGGGGCGCTGCTGTAACTGCTGCACATGGAGGTGCAGCAAGAAGAAATCCCTGCTCCTCCACCTAACAGGCTCCAAGGGAAGGACTTCAATGAAATCACTCCTCCAGCCCACACGGTCTGTAAGTAAGAGAGTGTGTGTAACTGTCTGCCTGTAACTGTGTGTGTGTGTGTGTAACTGTCTGCCTGACCCTGTAACTGTGTGTGTGTGTGTGTGCGTAACTGTCTACCTGTAACTGTGTGTGTGTGTGTGTGTGTGTGTGTGTCTGTAATGGTCTGCCGGTAACTGTGTGTGTGTGCATAACTGTCTGCCTGTAACTGTGTGTGTGTGTAACGGTCTGCCTGTAACTGCGTGTGTGTGTGTAACAGTCTGCCTGTAACTGCGTGTTTGTGTAACTGTCTTCCTGTAATTGTGTGTGTGTGTGACTGCATGCCTGTGACTGTGTGTGTGTGACTGCCTGTGACTATGTGTGACAGTCTGCCTGTGACTGTGTGATGCTGTCTGTGACTGTGTGTGTGTTTGACTGTCTGCATGTAACTGTGTGCGTGACTGTCTGTAACATACTGTGTGTGTAACTGTCTGCAACTGTGTGCGTGTGACTAGCTGCCTGTAACTGTGTGTGTGGCTGTAACTATGTATATGACTGTCTGCCTGTGACTGTGTGTGTGACTGTATATGTGACTGTCTGCCTGTAACAGTGTGCATGACTGTGTGTTACTGCTTGTAACTGACTGTGTGTGTGTAACTCTCTACCTGTAACTGTATGTATGATTTCCTGTGACTATATGTGTGACTGTCTGCATGTGACTGTGTGCGTGTGACTGTCTGCTTGTAACTGTGTGCCTGTAACTGTGTAACTGTGTGTGAGGGGGTGCAGGGATTTTGTAGAAGGGGGTAGGGGTTTTAAAAAGTTTACAAACTTGTCCAATACATTTAAAAAAAATTTAAAAAAAGATGTAAAATTAAAAAAAATAAAATTTAAAAAAAGAACACTTTTCTAAAAATGTAGAAGTTGTTTTTTGTTTTGTTTCATGGAGGGGGGAGGGGCAGGGGGGTGCCAAACCCCGGACCCGCCCCGGGTGCCACATGCTCTAGGTACGCCCCTACACATACTGACAGGTACACACACAATGACAGACACACTCACTGACAGACACACACACTGGCAGACACACACATTACACATTCAGAGATCAGCCTTTGGTATACTCCCAATGACCCTGTCCACACCCTGTGCCAAAGAGGATCCTCCCGCTACTCCTTGAAACCCTGTGAAGGTGGAGCACATTGACGTCACGTCGGAATGTGACGTGGCATTATGTGCCTCCGTGCACCTCCAGGTCCTCCACTGTCCAGCCGTGACCATCGCAAAACTGACCAACACACACTCACTGACAGACGCACACAATCACTTTGACAGACTATCACTCACTGACACACTCACTGACAGACACACACACTGACAGATACACACTGACAGACACACACACACACTCTGACAGACACACAAAAATGCACACTCACTCACTGATTGACAGACACTCACACCGAAAGACACACTGACAGACACACAGACACACACTCTCTGACAGACACACACACTCTCTGACAGACACACACACACTCTCTGACAGACACACACACACACTGACAGGCACACAGACACACTCACTGACAGACACACACACACACAAACACACGCATATACATATTCTTGCACACACTCACATAATTTTATTTATTGTTCCCTACCTATGGGAGCTTGTATGGGGCCTCTCCATGGGGTCCGGTGGAGATCTTCTCTCAGGAGGTCTCCTACCTGCTCCTCACTACTTCCTAACATGCGCAGTTTAGTGATGCCGGGCCGGAATGACGGCACTCGGCATCACCACAGAGGGGCGCGCGAGGGAGCAGTGAGGAGCAGGAAGACTGAGCTCCCTCGCTGCCGCTAGCGACCTCTCCTCCCGGGGCGGGTAAATTTTAGCAGAATAGGCACCTACAATGTAAGGAGAGCAAGTGCCTACTCTGCCTTAGTAAGCATGTCAAACTTTTAAAGATTTATTGTGGGCCGCAAGTTTGACATGCTTGGTCTACAATTTGCGATCGGATAAGTTGGTGAACCCTTATGATACAAAGTGATAATGACATTTTGTCTGAAATACCTGATCACGTAGCTCATCAAAGAATGTTCACAGACCGAGTCCCTGGACTTCTCTCCGCAGCATGAATACGCACCGTCTGTGTAGGTTCCGCGATGTGACATGAACAATCCAAATGCAAGCTCAATGTCATATGTAGTGAGCTTGACTGTTTCATTGTTTAGGGTTATGTTCCCAGTTTCATCTGTCAAAGATTTAGGAACAGAATCATCGTACCCCAGAAAATAAGCAACTTTGCGTACTAAAGTTCCAGGGCGAGAATTGATGCCAAAGAATTCTGATTGTTTCCAAAACAATGGACACAAATAAATTACTCTGTCACCTAAGTTACTATAGACGTAAGCTACAGTTCTGTAGTTTCTTGGACTGTTATTCTTCAGGAATGACACTTTCTGGAGTTCATCGATGAGCTGTTGAACGAGATTAGCACTAATGATTGGAATGAGTGGAAGATGCCGACTTAATTCACTCAGGTCTTCTGGTTTCTCCACCAAGAGATGGGTTTTTTTCTTCAGAGCATCGGTAAGGATGTTCAGGGTTCTCTGTTTTGCTTCCTCTGCTAGTTTTCTTTCATCCAAACTCAAAACAGACTCAAAGACTATTCTCCTCACCATGTCACATATAGAAAACATTGTGGTAGATCCTCCGTTGCCATCAAAAATTATTTCTCAATCTACAGAGCTCCTTCTTTATATTCTTAGTACAAACAGACGGGGAATACCCAGAAAACAAATCTTCAATGTTTTCAGACTTTGATATATAGAACGAAATGTCTTTCACTTTCATTTCAGTTTCCCAGAAAAGGTTTATCAAATCTCGCCAATGGTGTGATCATCAGTTATCAACAATAACCAGAGAGTTCTGGATTAAATTGGTAACTGCTTTATAAAGAAGTGCTAAATCTCAATTTTTTTTACAACTATGTAACCCTTTGCTTTTCTGCATTTGGAAGAAGGAAAGTATGGACAGAGGGTACATTTAACTTTGACACTAACAGGGATTCTGAATTTCCACCAAAATCTGGAGATCGGAACATTTTGCTCCACTCACTGATTCTGTGTATCAAGAAACCCACCCCACAGAGTAGATGGGGTCACCACCCAAAAAAACACTGTCAAACACAGAGGATAAATTAAATATAGAACTGTAGATAATATATTGAATTACCATAAACACACTAGGTGCAAATAAACATAAACAGTGCAAAATAATTGCTGACATGATAACCTCTGCTGCTGTAATAGGTCCTAAATAGTTTCTGCAGCCCCACAAACAGTCTGTATGTTCTGCATACAACCCCCACCCACCATTCCAGTGTCTAGGGAGGTGAGGGGGAAGAAAGGGAGGGACTGGGACACATGGAAGGGGGTGGGAGAGAGGGAAGGATGGGATGCATGGAGGAGAGGGGGAGAGAGGGAGAGATGGGACATATGGAGGGGCTGGTAGTGAGGAGGGTATGGGAAATATGGAGGGGATCGAGGGAATTGGACACATTGAGGGGCTATTGGGCAGAGGGAATGCGACATATGGGAGGGGCTTTGGGGTCAAGGGAATGAGACACATTGAGGGGCCTGAGCGTGGGAGTGAGGCACCAGGGGGGAGTGAATGAGACACCGGGGGAGGGAGAGAGGGGAGGGATGAGACGCATGGGAGGGGGGAACCCCAGGGCAATTTTCACACTAGGGTGGATTCTAGTTATGCCTCTGCTTGTGTCCCATGGTTGGTGCACCATGTTGGGGTCTTTTGTGTAAGTAGTGCTACCCAGTGGCGTCTCTAGGATTCATTTTTCGGGGGGGCACATGGAGGGCCAGTGACAAAAGTAGGGGGGCACATTTAACCCCGCCCTCGTCGCAGTTTGACCCCGCCCCTGTCACATGTTAAGCCACGCCCCCGACACAATGTGTTTTGTTTTTTTAATAATACCTGGTGGAGGATTCATTATTTTCCACCAGGGATTATTAAAAAAAAAAAAACATATTACCCTTGATACAGTGCCATAGTTGCCAACATTTGAAAAAAAATTCCAAGGACATTTTGCAGCACAGCTATCAATTACTGTCTGGGTATAATATCCCTGGACAGTCAGTGCTCTCTGTATAATACAGGGTTGTGTGTATAATAAATTGGGACACTCAGTGCTCCCTGTATAGTGCTGCTCTCTGTATAATACAGGTCTGTTTGTGTATAATATCCCAAGACAGAGAGCAGCACTATACAGGAAGCACTGACTATCCCGGGATATTTTATACACACAGATCTGTATTATACAGATAGCTGAGCATATACCCCAATCTCTAGACTACTAGTACCTGTCAACAGCAGCTCCCAGACGCGTGTAACAGGGCTAAAGTGTGCGGCAGCTCACACAGATTATTCAGCGGTAAAGTGCACTCGCTGGCAGAGCCAAACTGGGAATCCCTGGGAATCCAAAGCAGCCCTGGAAAAAAAAAGTATACCATTCCTACAAGTCAAAATATGTAAAATATATATATATATATATATATTACAGTAAGCACACAAGCTCACTGACATACAAAACTCTCTGACTCACACACAAGCTTACTACGGACACTCACTTGTATAAACAGAAGGCTCACTACAAAGAAGTTCAGGGACACACACACAAGCTCACTAAAGACAAGCTCACTGACACACACATGCTCACTAAATAGAAGCTCACTGACACACACAAGCAGTACCATTTTAACAGAGTTAAGGGCCCCTGGGCAAAGCAATGGAATTTTAATTATTGATAGACTGCTGAGTCCATACACACACACACACACAGATTGCTGAGTCCATACACACACACACAGATTGCTGAGTCCATACACACACACACACAGAGATTGCTGAGTCCATACACACACACACACAGATTGCTGAGTCCATACACACACACACACACACAGACTCTGCTGAGTCCATACACACACACAGACTCTGCTGAGTCCATACACACACACACACTCTGCTGAGTCCATACACACACACACAGACTCTGCTGAGTCCATACACACACACACACACAGACTGCTGAGTCCATACACACACAGACTGCTGAGTCCATACACACACACACACACACACACACAGACAGACTGCTGAGTCCATACACACACAGACTGCTGAGTCCATACACACACACACACACAGACTGCTGAGTCCATACAGTGTGTGTGTATGGGGATAGTGTATGTGTGTAGAGTGTATGTGTATGGGGGGGCAGAGTGTGTGTATGGGGGGCAGTGTGTGGGGCAATGTGTGTGTATGGGGGCAGTATGGGGGTCAGTGTTTGTGTATGGGGTCAGTGTGTGTGTATGGGGGGCAGTGTGTGGGGCAATGTGTGTGTATGGGGGGCAGTGTGTGTGTATGGGGGCAGTATGGGGGGCAATGTGTGTGTATGGGGGGCAGTGTGTGTTTATGGGGCAGTATGGGGGGCAATGTGTGTGTAAACACCCCCCCACCCCCACCGTCACTGGAGGCTGTCACTGGGGGTCAGGCAGCCATCTTCTGAAGCAGCATGGGCTGCTGCTTCACAGCGGGGGCGGGGCTTATCGGCGGGAGGCGTGGCTTCATTTGGGTGCGGGGCCTGTGCCGGGGAGCCAATCAGTGCTCCCTCCAGCCACAGAGAGCCCCCAGCACCTCAGCACTGCATTCCCTCCCCGGCTGTAACAGACTGTTACAGTCCGAGGGAAGCCCATGGCCAGCAGGTTGCTGGCATTTGGGGGGGCCCAAGGGGGGGCACAGCATGATGTAGGGGGGGCCATGGCCCCCTCTGGCCCCCCCCCTAGCGACGCCACTGCATTTCTCCAATATGACATAGATATAGGTGTTTCGTTTAACCTTTTCACTGCCATAGCATTTTCTAATCTAACACACCCTACAGATCATTTGTAACTATTTTTGTCATTCCATATAATTTGTAAAACTCCTTAGACAACTGAAAAGAAAAATCTAAATAGTTGTCTCTCACATCAATTTGAACTCATCGTGAATACCAAAATGTTAAGACAAATTAATGTAACTTTGTGTAATTTCTACAAACCAAGCAGACATGGCTAGGATAAAGTTAAAGTATTATTTTTTTTAATGATTAATTATATAATTATTTTTTTCACTTTGCTATTTTTTATTTAAAAAAACAATCCAAAGTCATATTAAATATAACAAAAACTAAATATTTTTTTTTCCTCAGCACAATTTCAACTTCTCATAGACACCAAAATCTAAGTAAAATAAGTTAGTGACAACATATAATTGAATTAACTTACTTTTTAACGATTTTAATAGTTAATGTGAAAAAAAGCAAAAGAGGTAGATACATGTGAATGAGCACTAAAGCTGACAAAGAAATGTTTTTGTATCCCCCTCCTGCTTATCTATTTGCAGGGAGTGAGTTATAATGAGTTATTCCTTGGTGGTCCACGTCAGTATCCAATAGTATCCCTGGCGGTCCAGTAAAGGAAGCGTCTGGTCTGCACCTTCAGCTGGCGCAGACCACAATATACACACTTCCAGCTAGCACTCAGTGAATGAGCCTGAACGTTGCCATGGTAACCTGTCAACAGTGCTCTGATTCATTTACTCAGTGTACGGACCGTGAGGGACTGTTCAGAGTAGTCTGCACCAGCCATAGGTGCAGACCACACTAGCTCTAGAAAGATTTGTCTGATACCTAATAGATTTCCAAATAAGTGGCATACTAAGTAGCAGTTTTGTAAACGGAAACCCTCACCCATTCCCCCTGACAGGTGACATCCAGGGATTGGTCGCTACCCCGACTCTTGAGACCCTGGCAGTTCCGCCTGAGTTTTTGAATGTGCAGATTGTTGCTCTTAACTGGTTTATGTTTTCAAAATAGAAAACAAAAAAATGTAAAATTATAGTCTTTAATCTTTTAGTACAACTCCCCCCGCCCCCCAAAACATAAAAACATGACCTGCCTGCGCACTATCCCAAATCCCAATGTAAATTTAAATAACAGTTTTTATTCCTACTGCAATGGTTATTAATGTGTAAGTGCACCTGCTTTGTTAAGATAAACCTCTTAGGTGAGTCTCACACTAACAATTCACCTTGCTGCTTTCTGCTAAAAGGCAAAATCTCTAATGTGCCAGAAAGGAGTATTTTTATGAGCCCCTTTACACTTATTAACTATTAATATGGTAAGTTTAATTTTTGTTTTATTGCGTTCTTGATGTATTTGGGTTGAAGAAAACTGTATCCGTGGAACCCATTTACAAGGAGTGAGAGTTTGAGCCCAGGGCTTATTTCTGTGATTTTTTAATCTTTTAGTAACAAAAGTGGATGATATGGGTATGTTTTTAAGTAAATAAACATTACATGATTTTATCTTGCAGCTGACCTCAACATTGTTTCATAAAAAGCAGGATATTTTTTTTAAAAAATGGTCATTTATACTTTATGTAACTCTGTTGATCAAACACAGACATCAGGTTATAACTACCGACACCATAATAAAACTGTCATTCCAAATGTCATTTAGTTGTGGAGAGGTGTTACACTGGATTGTTTATCGACCTTTTACAGGACGGGTCCCAATGAATGTGGAATACAATGAAACCAGTCCATAAATGATAAATGATGTCCCTTCCAAAGAGTGTTTAGAATAGGAGAGGTGGTGTTAGCAGGGGCTCTGTGTGTTCCTCTAACCTGGGCTGAGACATACCATGAGCTGAAATGAAACCATCTATTGAGGTGTGAAAGTTGCTTTGTTTGGGGTTCATGGAATAACGGTCCAAGTCATTTATGGAGTAATGTGTGATTTACCCAAATTACACTTTTACACCTTAATATTCACTTAATTATTTTAGGGTTCTTGTAGAGTCCTGCCATTTTTTTGTGTGCTGCCTATTGAAATCTAAGAGATTAAGCACATTCACATTTCTTACTATTAGTGACATATTATTAATATAGTGGGAAATGTATATTTATTATGGAAATCATTTAAATTGTAAAACATGTATAATGTTATTGTTCATTAAAGAAAACACTCAGATAAAATATAGATATGGAACAAAAAACTATTTATTAAAAAGTAAAAAAATATTATAATAGAATGGTTTTAAAACAACATGAATGTGACACATTTATAAAATATGTTCGGGAGGCAGTAAAACAGCTAAATTGATGTAAAAACAGTCCTTTAAAGTTGTCAGGAAGCATTTAGTCCATTCTCTGGATCTCCGCTCACACTGCCATTCTGGGGCTCAGGAGGAGTCCCCTCTCCATTTACTGGTGCCCAGTTCATGGTGATGGCAATGGGTCTCTCTTTAGCAGCTGGCAGTGCCAGGCGAGGAGCCTGAATAATGAGCTGTCCGTCTTCAGACAGGGAACATAGCACTTCCTCAGGATTTACATCTTCTGGGAGCTCAACATCTCTCTTCCACTCTCTGTATTCATGGAAGTAGCTCCCATCCTCGGTGTCCCTTTTCTGGTCATGTTTTCCCGTCACAATCAGTCTCCTTCCTGCAGTTTTCACAGTCAGTTCATCAGGAGAGAAGGGACTCACATTCAGGCTGAGCTCAAAGTGCTCCTTCCCCTCTTTGTCAGTTTTGGGAGAGTCCTGCTCACTCTTTTTGTCCCCAGTCTGCCTGCTCTGTGCTAGTCTCCTTGTCATGTCCATGTCCTGAGAGAGGAGCCGATAAGCCTGGTTCACACGTTGCATTCTCCTCTCCACCTCGTTCCTCATGCTCAGCATGTCATCTTCCAGCTGCCCAAAGATGAGCCGTGTGGCTGGCCAGAGCGTGAGTGCAGGCTCTCTGCAGACACACAGAGGAGTGTGAGAGGGCTGGAGGAGGCTGATAGGAAACATCTTCTTAGGATTTTCTCTGGAGCTTCTTGTCAGAGTTGGGCTGTAGACAATCTGTCTGTCTGTCAGTTTGTGCTGTCTTGCTTCTCAGTACTGAATGCAGTCAGAGCTGCAGCTCGCTTTTATATTGACTAGTTAAAGTACTGGAGAGTTCTTGAGATTTCCTGGTGCTCTCCATCTATGGTATGAAGGGGAGGGGCTGTGTACAGCGTGGATTCTGTAAGAGGTGTAGATAGAGGCAGTGCTAGCAGCTTCTAGCATTAACTAGGAAGGTGACATCACTAGTGGGCGGGGTCAAAGTTTGTGTCTGTTCTGGAGACTGACAGAGAATTCGGAATGCTGTGTGTAATGTCAATATTGTACTTCAAACCACAAATGTACAATATCACAGCACGCAGACCTGGAGAGAGGGTTAGGTAATGCTGCTGATGAGTTTATGGATGCACCCATATGGTTATATGGTTAGTGATGTTCACATTTCTCCATTCTGAGATAGATATAGGTGTTTCGTTTAACCTTTTCACTGCCATAGCATTTTCTAATCTAACACACCCTACAGATCAGTTGTAACTATTTTTGTCATTCCATATAATTTGTAAAACTCCTTAGACAACTGAAAAGAAAAATCTAAATAGTTGTCTCTCACATCAATTTGAACTCATCGTGAATACCAAAATGTTAAGACAAATTAATGTAACTTTGTGTAATTTCTACAAACCAAGCAGACATGACTGGGATAAAGTTAAAGTATTATTTTTTTTAATGATTAATTATATAATTATTTTTTTCACTTTGCTATTTTTTATTTAAAAAAACAATCCAAAGTCATATTAAATATAACAAAAACTAAATATGTTTTTTTTCCTCAGCACAATTTCAACTTCTCATAGACACCAAAATCTAAGTAAAATAAGTTAGTGACAACATATAATTGAATTAACTTACTTTTTAACGATTTTAATAGTTAATGTGAAAAAAAGCAAAAGAGGTAGATACATGTGAATGAGCACTAAAGCTGACAAAGAAATGTTTTTGTATCCCCCTCCTGCTTATCTATTTGCAGGGAGTGAGTTATAATGAGTTATTCCTTGGTGGTCCACGTCAGTATCCAATAGTATCCCTGGCGGTCCAGTAAAGGAAGCGTCTGGTCTGCACCTTCAGCTGGCGCAGACCACAATATACACACTTCCAGCTAGCACTCAGTGAATGAGCCTGAACGTTGCCATGGTAACCTGTCAACAGCGCTCTGATTCATTTACTGAGTGTAGGGACCGTGAGGGAGTGTTCAGAGTAGTCTGCACCAGCCATAGGTGCAGACCACACTAGCTCTAGAAAGATTTGTCTGATACCTAATAGATTTCCAAATAAGTGGCATACTAAGTAGCAGTTTTGTAATCGGAAACCCTCTCCCATTCCCCCTGACAGGTGACATCCAGGGAGTGGTCGCTATGCCGACTCTTGAGACCCTGGCAGTTCCGCCTGAGTTTTTGAATGTGCAGATTGTTGCTCTTAACTGGTTTATGTTTTCAAAATAGAAAACAAAAAAAATGTAAAATTATAGTCTTTAATCTTTTAGTACAACTCCCCCCGCCCCCCAAAACATAAAAACATGACCTGCCTGTGCACTATCCCAAATCCCAATGTAAATTTAAATAACAGTTTTTATTCCTACTGCAATGGTTATTAATATGTAAGTGCACCTGTTTTGTTAAGATAAACCTCTTAGGTGAGTTTCACACTAACAATTCACCATGCTGCTTTCTGATAAAAGGCAAAATCTCTAATGTGCCAGAAGGGAGTATTTTTTGAGCCCCTTTACATTTATTAACTATTAATATGGTGAGTTTAATTTTTGTTTGGTTGTGTTCTGTATGTATTTGAGTTGAAGAACACTGCATCCATGGAACCCATTTACAAGTAGTGAGAGTTTGAGCCCAGGGCTTATTTCTGTGATTTTTTCATCTTTTAGTAACAAAAGTGGATGATATGGGTATATTTTCAAGTAAATAAACATTACACGATTTTATCTTGCAGCTGACCTCAACATTGTTTCATAAAAAGTAGGATATTTATAAAAAAATTATTATTAATGGATACCAGGTTGGACTTGTCCCCACCGAGTTAAAAGCCGACTGGTGGGAGCAGTATGGTCGGGCCCCACTGAGCAAAAAGTCGGCTGGTGGGGAGCCCAAAAGGGAAGAGGAGTTTTTATTATGCCGAGGGGGGAGGTGAGAACATTTGGGAAGAGGGATTTAGATTGGCAAGGACGTTTTCGGTTACATTATGATGATATGGGTATGTTTTCAAGTAAATGATTTTATCTTGCAGCGGACCTCAACATTGTTTCATAAAAAGCAGGATATTTATAAAAAAATGATCATTTATACTTTATGTAACTCTGTTGATCAAACACAGACATCAGGTTATAACTACCGACACCATAATAAAAATGTAATTCCAAATGTCATTTAGTTGTGGAGAGGTGTTACACTGGATTGTTTATCGACCTTTTACAGGACGGGTCCCAATGAATGTGGAATACAATGAAACCAGTCCATAAATGATAAATGATGTCCCTTCCAGAGAGTGTTTAGTATAGGAGAGGTGGTGTTAGCAGGGGCTCTATGTGTTCTTCTAACCTGGGCTGAGAGATACCATGAGCTGAAATGAAACCATCTATTGAGGTGTCAAAGTTGCTTTGTTTGGGGTTCATAGAATAACGGTCCAAGTCATTTATGGAGTAATGTGTGATTTACCCAAATTACACTTTTACACCTTAATATTCACTTTATTATTTTATGGTTCTTGTAGAGCGCTGTCATTTTTTTGTGTGCTGCCCATTGATATCTAAGAGATTAAGCACATTCACATTTCTTACTATTAGTGACATATTATTATTATAGTGGGGAATGTATATTTATTATGGAAATCATTTAAATTGTAAAATATGTTTAATGTTATTGTTCATTAAAGAAAACACTCTCAGATAAAATATAGATATGGAACAAAAAACTATTTATTAAAAAGTAACAAAATATTATAATAGAATGGTTTTAAAACAACATGAATGCGACACATGTATAAAATATGTTCAGGAGGCAGTATAACAGCTAAATTGATGTAAAAACAGTCCTTTAAAGTTGTCAGGAAGCATTTAGTCCATTCTCTGGATCTCCGCTCACACTGCTGTTCTGGGGCACAGGAGGAATCCCCTCTCCATTTACTGGTGCCCGGTTCATGGTGATGGCAATGGGTCTCTCTTTAGCAGCTGGCAGTGCCAGACGAGGAGCCTGAAGAAGGAGCTGTCCTTCTTCAGACAGGGAACACAGCACTTCCTCAGGATTTACATCTTCTGGGAGCTCAACTTCTCTCTTCCACTCTCTGTATTCATGGAAGTAGCTCCCATTCTCGGTGTCCCTTTTCTGGTCATGTTTTCCCATCACAATCAGTCTCCTTCCTTCGGTTTTCACAGTCAGTTCATCAGGAGAGAAGGGACTCACATTCAGGCTGAGCTCAAAGTGCTCCTTCCCCTCTTTGTCAGTTTTGGGAGAGTCCTGCTCACTCTTTTTGTCCCCAGTCTGCCTGCTCTGTGCTAGTCTCCTTGTCATGTTCATGTCCTGAGAGAGGAGCTGATAAGCCTGGTTCACACGTTGCATTCTCCTCTCCATTTCGTTCCTCATGCTCAGCATGTCATCTTCCAGCTGCCCAAAGATGAGCCGTGTGGCTGGCCAGAGCGTGAGTGCAGGCTCTCTGCAGACACACAGAGGAGTGTGAGAGGGCTGGAGGAGGCTGATAGGAAACATCTTCTCAGTATTTTCTCTGGAGCTTCTTGTCAGAGTTGGGCTGTAGACAATCTGTCTGTTTGTCGGTTTGTGCTGTCTTGCTTCTCAGTACTGAATGCAGTCAGAGCCACAGCTCGCTTTTATATTGACAAGTTAAAGTACTGGAGAGTTCTTGAGATTTCCTGGTGCTCTCCATATATGGTAAGAAGGGGAGGGGCTGTGTACAGCGTGGATTCTGTAAGAGGTGTAGACAGAGGCAGTGCTAGCAGCTTCTAGCATTAACTAGGAAGGTGACATCACTAGTGGGCGGGGTCAAAGAGTGTGTCTGTTCTGGAGACTGACAGAGAATTTGGAATGCTGTGTGTAATGTCAATATTGTACTTCAAACCACAAATTTAGAATATTACAGCAAATGGACATGGATAGAGGGTTAGGTAATGCTGCTGATGAGTTTATGGATGCACCCATATGGTTATATGGTTAGTGATGTTCACATTTCTCCATTCTGAGATAGATATAGGTGTTTCGTTTAACCTTTTCACTGCCATAGCATTTTCTAATCTAACACACCCTACAGATCAGTTGTAACTATTTTTGTCATTCCATATAATTTGTAAAACTCCTTAGACAACTGAAAAGAAAAATCTAAATAGTTGTCTCTCACATCAATTTGAACTCATCGTGAATACCAAAATGTTAAGACAAATTAATATAACTTTGTGTAATTTCTACAAACCAAGCAGACATGGCTGGGATAAAGTTAAAGTATTATTTTTTTTAATGATTAATTATATAATTATTTTTTTCACTTTGCTATTTTTTATTTAAAAAAACAATCCAAAGTCATATTAAATATAACAAAAACTAAATATGTTTTTTTTCCTCAGCACAATTTCAACTTCTCATAGACACCAAAATCTAAGTAAAATAAGTTAGTGACAACATATAATTGAATTAACTTACTTTTTAACGATTTTAATAGTTAATGTGAAAAAAAGCAAAGAGGTAGATACATGTGAATGAGCACTAAAGCTGACAAAGAAATGTTTTTGTATCCCCCTCCTGCTTATCTATTTGCAGGGAGTGAGTTATAATGAGTTATTCCTTGGTGGTCCACGTCAGTATCCAATAGTATCCCTGGCGGTCCAGTAAAGGAAGCGTCTGGTCTGCACCTTCAGCTGGCGCAGACCACAATATACACACTTCCAGCTAGCACTCAGTGAATGAGCCTGAACGTTGCCATGGTAACCTGTCAACAGCGCTCTGATTCATTTACTGAGTGTAGGGACCGTGAGGGAGTGTTCAGAGTAGTCTGCACCAGCCATAGGTGCAGACCACACTAGCTCTAGAAAGATTTGTCTGATACCTAATAGATTTCCAAATAAGTGGCATACTAAGTAGCAGTTTTGTAATCGGAAACCCTCTCCCATTCCCCCTGACAGGTGACATCCAGGGAGTGGTCGCTATGCCGACTCTTGAGACCCTGGCAGTTCCGCCTGAGTTTTTGAATGTGCAGATTGTTGCTCTTAACTGTTATGTTTTCAAAATAGAAAACAAAAAAATGTAAAATTATAGTCTTTAATCTTTTAGTACAACTCCCCCCGCCCCCAAAACATAAAAACATGACCTGCCTGTGCACTATCCCAAATCCCAATGTAAATTTAAATAACAGTTTTTATTCCTACTGCAATGGTTATTAATATGTAAGTGCACCTGCTTTGTTAAGATAAACCTCTTAGGTGAGTTTCACACTAACAATTCACCATGCTGCTTTCTGATAAAAGGCAAAATCTCTAATGTGCCAGAAGGGAGTATTTTTTGAGCCCCTTTACATTTATTAACTATTAATATGGTGAGTTTAATTTTTGTTTGGTTGTGTTCTGTATGTATTTGAGTTGAAGAACACTGCATCCATGGAACCCATTTACAAGTAGTGAGAGTTTGAGCCCAGGGCTTATTTCTGTGATTTTTTCATCTTTTAGTAACAAAAGTGGATGATATGGGTATATTTTCAAGTAAATAAACATTACACGATTTTATCTTGCAGCTGACCTCAACATTGTTTCATAAAAAGTAGGATATTTATAAAAAAATTATTATTAATGGATACCAGGTTGGACTTGTCCCCACCGAGTTAAAAGCCGACTGGTGGGAGCAGTATGGTCGGGCCCCACTGAGCAAAAAGTCGGCTGGTGGGGAGCCCAAAAGGGAAGAGGAGTTTTTATTATGCCGAGGGGGGAGGTGAGAACATTTGGGAAGAGGGATTTAGATTGGCAAGGACGTTTTCGGTTACATTATGATGATATGGGTATGTTTTCAAGTAAATGATTTTATCTTGCAGCGGACCTCAACATTGTTTCATAAAAAGCAGGATATTTATAAAAAAATGATCATTTATACTTTATGTAACTCTGTTGATCAAACACAGACATCAGGTTATAACTACCGACACCATAATAAAAATGTAATTCCAAATGTCATTTAGTTGTGGAGAGGTGTTACACTGGATTGTTTATCGACCTTTTACAGGACGGGTCCCAATGAATGTGGAATACAATGAAACCAGTCCATAAATGATAAATGATGTCCCTTCCAGAGAGTGTTTAGTATAGGAGAGGTGGTGTTAGCAGGGGCTCTATGTGTTCTTCTAACCTGGGCTGAGAGATACCATGAGCTGAAATGAAACCATCTATTGAGGTGTGAAAGTTGCTTTGTTTGGGGTTCATAGAATAACGGTCCAAGTCATTTATGGAGTAATGTGTGATTTACCCAAATTACACTTTTACACCTTAATATTCACTTTATTATTTTATGGTTCTTGTAGAGCGCTGTCATTTTTTTGTGTGCTGCCCATTGATATCTAAGAGATTAAGCACATTCACATTTCTTACTATTAGTGACATATTATTATTATAGTGGGGAATGTATATTTATTATGGAAATCATTTAAATTGTAAAATATGTATAATGTTATTGTTCATTAAAGAAAACACTCTCAGATAACATATAGATATGGAACAAAAAACTATTTATTAAAAAGTAACAAAATATTATAATAGAATGGTTTTAAAACAACATGAATGCGACACATGTATAAAATATGTTCAGGAGGCAGTATAACAGCTAAATTGATGTAAAAACAGTCCTTTTTATAGATATGGAACAAAAAACTATTTATTAAAAAGTAACAAAATATTATAATAGAATGGTTTTAAAACAACATGAATGCGACACATGTATAAAATATGTTCAGGAGGCAGTATAACAGCTAAATTGATGTAAAAACAGCATTTAGTCCATTCTCTGGATCTCCGCTCACACTGCTGTTCTGGGGCTCAGGAGGAATCCCCTCTCCATTTACTGGTGCCCGGTTCATGGTGATGGCAATGGGTCTCTCTTTAGCAGCTGGCAGTGCCAGACGAGGAGCCTGAAGAAGGAGCTGTCCTTCTTCAGACAGGGAACACAGCACTTCCTCAGGATTTACATCTTCTGGGAGCTCAACTTCTCTCTTCCACTCTCTGTATTCATGGAAGTAGCTCCCATTCTCGGTGTCCCTTTTCTGGTCATGTTTTCCCATCACAATCAGTCTCCTTCCTTCGGTTTTCACAGTCAGTTCATCAGGAGAGAAGGGACTCACATTCAGGCTGAGCTCAAAGTGCTCCTTCCCCTCTTTGTCAGTTTTGGGAGAGTCCTGCTCACTCTTTTTGTCCCCAGTCTGCCTGCTCTGTGCTAGTCTCCTTGTCATGTCCATGTCCTGAGAGAGGAGCTGATAAGCCTGGTTCACACGTTGCATTCTCCTCTCCATTTCGTTCCTCATGCTCAGCATGTCATCTTCCAGCTGCCCAAAGATGAGCCGTGTGGCTGGCCAGAGCGTGAGTGCAGGCTCTCTGTAGACACACAGAGGAGTGTGAGAGGGCTGGAGGAGGCTGATAGGAAACATCTTCTCAGGATTTTCTCTGGAGCTTCTTGTCAGAGTTGGGCTGTAGACAATCTGTCTGTTTGTCAGTTTGTGCTATCTTGCTTCTCAGTGCTGAATGCAGTCAGAGCTGCAGCTCGCTCTTATATTGACTAGTTAAAATACTGGAGAGTTCTTGAGATTTCCTGGTGCTCTCCATATATGGTATGAAGGGGAGGGGCTGTGTACAGCGTGGATTCTGTAAGAGGTGTAGACAGAGGCAGTGCTAGCAGCTTCTAGCATTAACTAGGAATGTGACATCACTAGTGGGCGGGGTCAAAGTGTGTGTCTGTTCTGGAGACTGACAGAGAATTTGGAATGCTGTGTGTTATGTCAATATTGTACTTCAAACCAGAAATGTACAATATCACAGCACGCAGACCTGGAGAGAGGGTTAGGTAATGCTGCTGATGAGTTTATACATGCACCCTTATGGTTATATGGTTACTGACATTTCTCCATTCTGAGATAGACATAGGTGTTTCATTTAACCTTTTCACTGCCATAGCATTTTCTAATCTAACACACCCTACAGATCAGTTGTAACTATTTTTGTCAACTCTTTAGACAACTGAAAAGAAAAATCTAAATAGTTTTCTCTGAAGTCAATTTGAACTCATCATGAATACCAAAATGTTAAGACAAATTAACGTAAGTTTATGTCATTTTTATAAACCACGCAGACAAGGCTGGGTTTATTAAGTTAAATTTTTATGTTTTTTAATTATTAATTATTTAATTTTTTTTTCAATTGGCTATTTTTTATTTAAAAAAAAAAAATCCAAAATCATATTAAATATAACAAAAACAAAATAGTTTCAATTTCAGCTTCTCATAGACACAAACATCTAAGTAAAATTAGTGACAACATATAATTGAATTAACTTACCTTTTAACGATTTTTATATTTAATGTCAAGAAAGCAAAAGAGGTATATACATGTTAATGAGCACTAAAGCTGAAAAAATGTTTTTGTATCCCCCCTCCTGCTTATCTATTTGCAGGGAGAGCGTTATAATGAGTTATTTCTTAGTGGTCCACGTCATCGTCCAATAATATCCCTGGTGGTCCAGTGAAGGAAGCATGTGGTCTGCACCTTTAGCTGACGCAGACCACAAAATACAGACTTCCAACTGGCACTCAGTGAATGAGCCTGAACATTGCCATGGCCACCTGTCAACAGTGCTCTGATTCATTTACTGAGTGTACGGACAGTGAGGGAGTGTTCAGAGTAGTCTGCACCAGCCATAGGTGCAGACCACACTAGCTCTAGAAAGATTTGTCTGATACCTAATAGATTGCCAAATAAGTGGTATGTTAAGTAACAGTTTTGCAAATGGAAGCTGTAATGGCTAACCAGCTGGTAAGGGGTATCTGCCGTTGGAGATGTCCTTTTCTAGGCAAGCTGCTGTGAAGTAATGGAGTCCTTATTCCCATCCACGATATCCAATAGTACAATCAGGCATCGCTGTAAAATGAGGCAGAGTAACTGTACAATAAATCCCCTCCAAGAACGAGACGAGGCTACGTTTTGAAGGGTCAAGTAGAACTGATGTTTATTGACAGGGGTCTCCTTTTATGCAATGGTGCCTGGAAAAGGCTACACCCACATAATTAATACAACAACCAATCATACACATGGTACAACCCCCACGTCTCCTCCCCTCAGATAAACATGTAACACAACTAAAACATACACAATTTTACTCAAGTTCTGGATGTACCCCAAAAATAGGGGGTACACCTTTAAATCGTTGAAAAGAGTTCCATAAGTTTTGGCCTTGCGGTCGGTCTCTGTTCGTGCATTAAACCCCACGAACCCCTTGCCATCCACAGTCACCCTGGTGTTCGCTGGAATCCCTATGTGAGCTTAAGCATAACTACAGAATGGCCGGTCGTTCGGTAGTTCAAGCACGAAGTTACGAGCTCATGGAGGTCTCAGCGCTGTTCGCCTGTTTGCGTGTCCGTTTTTAGTTCCATGCGTTCACGGACAAACACCGCTGTTCGTGCGTAAGATGGCCGCGAACACGTGTAAAGTCCCGAAATGGCAGCCATCTATTCTGAGCACAAAGGATTCATTTGAAACCATACGAACGGCTCCAAAAGCGCTGGGAGGTAAAATACCACTTAACTGTGCCCCTGGGTGGTCCGATGTTCGGTAGTTTGAGCTGCATTCTCCTGTAATGGTATTTCCCATGAGATAGTTATTCGGTTTTTAATAAATCCAACTGTATTGATAAATAAGTCCAGGTACAAGCATAGTTCTGTTACAGAAGCCCTCTCCCATTCCCCTTGACAGGCGACATCCAGGGAGTGGTCGCTATCCCGATTCTTGCAAACCTGGCAGTTCAGCCTGTGTTTTTGAATGTGCAGAGAGTGGGGAGAGGATCTGTAGTTACACCCCACTGCCCAAAAAGCATTGTATCTGACTTCCCGCAGTGGATCTTCGCTCCTGAAGCTCTGCTGAAATCGTCGCAGGTGGTCTTAAGTGCTCTCACTGCCTGGCGATCAGTGCAGAAGATGGTGATGTCGTCCATGTAGATCGAGCACTTAATTTATTTTCCTCTTGCTCTTGGTGCGGTGATCCCTCTGATCTCCCGGGTTCCGTCTGATGGACTTGGTGAAGTGAAGAGCTCTATACAACATACAAAGAGGAGAGATGAGAGAGTGCAGCCTTGTCTGACCCCTGACCTGACTAAGAAGTGGTCAGTTTTCCAGCCATTCACCAACACAATACTGCAGATATCACGATACATCAGGTTTACATAGGAACAGAACACCTCCCCCAAACCAAACTTGCGCAGGGCTGTACTCATAAACTCATGAGAAACACGATCAAAGGCTTTCTCCTGGTCCAGGAACACGAGTGCAGCCAGGACCCGGCGATCATTGATGTAATGGATCGTGTCTCTGATGAGTTCCAGACTGTTGGAGATCTGGCGTCCTGGGATGCCACAGGTCTGGTCAGGCTCGATGATCTGCCCTAAGACCGCCTTCAGTCTGGTTGCTAATACCTTGGCCAGGATCTTGTAGTCCACATTAAGGATAGAAATGGGCCGTCAGTTTTTAAGGTCGCATTTTCCCCACTTCTGTTTATACAAGATCGTGATCGTCCCCTCTCTGAGAGTGGGTGGTAAGCTGTCCGCTGTTGCCATCTCCTCATACAGTACCAACAAGTCCGGTCAAATGAGGTCCCACAGTGTTACATATAACTCGGCTGGGAGACTGTCACAGTCCAGGGTCCTGTCTAGTCTAAATGATTTGACAGAGGCGTGCAGCCCCCCCAGGGTCAGGGGGGCGTCTAGCACGGCTTTCCCTGCTGGGTCTACCGTTTTTGTGATACCCGAGAGGAATCTCTCGGTGGCATCATTGCATGTGTGCTTAGAGGAATAGAGGTCCTTGTAGCAATCTGCGACAACTTCTGTGACCCCTTTTTTCCCCTGTTGCATATCGCCTTTACGATCTCGCAGCTCAGACAGTTGTGTTTCCTGAAGAAGAAAGAGTTGAATTTTTCTCCCTTTTCAAGATTCTCCACCTTGGAACCAAAGATTATTTGCTTGGATTCTTCCTCAAAGTGTCTTTTCAGAGTCTCCTTGGTTTCCTCCAGCTCCTCCCTCACGTCCCATTCACAGAGTTGGAGGTCCTGCAGAGACTGCAACTTTCTTTGCAGTCTCTGGAAGTTCCTCTTTTTGGCACCCACTAGGCTTCTGCCTTTTGCCTGCCAGAAACTGCAGAGCCTGACTTTAGTCTGCTCCCACCATTCTGCAATGGTACGGAACTGACCATTGTCTACCTGACATCCCATATATTCGGTACGCAGCTCCTTCACAATTTCCCATCTCTGCGGCAGGGTACAGCTTAGCTTTCAGGAGCCTGGACCGGGGGGGAAACCCTTTCCCAGGGTACCCTCGAGCTTCACCGCACTGTGGTCAGAGAAGAAGCAGGGAACCGTGGCGGAGTGCGCGTGTAAACACAAAGTCTATCCGAGAGCGCTGGGACCCACCTGGGAGGCTGTATGTATAATTAACAGAGCCGTTCCCCATTGAGCCCACAGCATCCATCATGGATGCCTCGGTGATCATCTCCCCAAGCAGTTTAGATATTATGTCCAGCTTGTCTGCATTCTGGGAACTACGACCTCCTTCCTCTATCGGACAGTTAAAATCACCTCCCATCACGACTGTTTTGGTAGTTCCAGATGCTGTCCCTCCTCACGGAGATGAACCTTACTGGTTCCCCTGCCTAGGAGCCGTCCACGACTAAGAGTCGACCACAGACAAGCTCCACCGTGAAGCACCGCCCCTCCCTCCCCCCCGAATTAGGACAACGGTACCTGTGGACTTGCACCCGTTCCCACCAGACCAGAACACTTCCTTTACCTCAGAAACCTCATTACAAGCCAAATCATTTGTCCCAAGATGGACAAGTACATACAATTCCCCTTCCTGCTTTGCTTGCTTAACAATATTACAAATACGTCTCCTGTCTCTGTGAGCAGTAGCTCCAGGAAGACATCTCACAAAGCCACTATTGTTCAACTCCACACCTCTTAAGATAGAATCCCCCAACAACAACTGCTTTATATTAGGCCTCACCTTGTCCTTGAGGATGGTGGTTCCACAATGTCGGTGCCTGAGCCATTTTCCGTAACACCACTACAATCTGAAAGTGCAGAAAATGAATTATGTAAAGAAGCAGACTGTGCAGTATGCCATTTGTCCACATCTCTAAGTCTACCAGATCCTACAGTAATCCATCTGCCATTCCTAGGACATCTCTGCAGCAGTGGATTTGCAACAGTCCCAGCCTGAGTTTATTTAACAGATCATTTACAAATCTCCGACTTCAGAAATGCAATCTCCTTCTGCAATATAGAGAACTGTCTACAGATTAGACAACATCCAAACCATCCAAAAAGTGAAATGAGAAACAAATGCACAACAACTATTAATGAGATGAGGAGTTTAAATCAAACAAATCTTACTTTTTGTATCTTTTTTTTCCCACCTACTGTCTACCTCAGATTACCTACAGTTTATCTCCAGAATATCTCCAAATACACTTTGTAGCAGCACTTAGAAGCAGCTGCCAAGCTATATATACACACACACACAGATAAAAACACTGGTACATACACACACACACACACTCAGAAACACACACTTGCATATACACACAGATACATAATGGTACATACATACACACTTAGATACACACTGACACACACATTTGCACATACACACACTTAGATTCACAATGACACTCAGATACACACACACACCTACACTGACATACACACACTGACATGTACACACACACACACACACACACACACACACACACACTCAGACAAGCAATGACACACAGATACACACACACAGATACCCACACTGGCACATACACACAGATACCCACACTGGCACATACACACAGATACACACTGGCACATACACACACACTCGAATACACACTGACTTGCAGTAACACACACTGACACACACACGCAGATAGTCACATTGGCATATACACACAAATACACACATTGGCACATACACACTCAGATACACACACTTGCACATACACACACACACACAGATACATATACTGGCACACACACATAGATACATGTACTGGCACATACACACACACTCAGATACACACTGACACAGTTACCCACAGTGACACACACACACTCAGATACACACCCTGTCATATACACACACTGACACATGCACTTAGATACACACACTTGTAAATACACACATATACACACTGGCACATCCACATACACTCAGATACAAACTCTGGCTCATACACACATAATCAGAGAGACACTGACACACAGATGCACACACACATACAGATACACACACTGGCACATACACACACACTCAGATACACATAGTTGCACATACACAAAGATATACACACTGGCACATACACATACTTTCAGATACACACACTGGCACATACACACACTCAGATACACACTGGCACACATATACACACACCGACACACACACACACACACACACAGATATACACACTGGCACATAGGCACACATTCAGATACATACACTTGCATGCACGCACACACACACACACACACTGACATATTTAGACATAGGGTGGCTTGCTTAAAGGGTCCTGGTGCTGACTGAGGCTGATGGGAGTGAGCATGCAGCAGCTCACTCTAGCCTCTCCTCTGCCTCCATGCTGCTGTGTGTGCCGCATCCTCCACCTACCTCCTTAGCGGCGGCGCTCTTTGAAGTTGGGAGGAAGTGATTGGCTGTCACTTCCTTCCAGGTGGCCAATGCTACAGGGCCGATGCTCTTAAAGGACTGGTACCGACCAGGACCCTGTTCAGTGATAATGCTCATTGGGTGGCTGTAAATTATATAGGTAAAGGTAAACTAAAGGTTTATAAATAAAAACATAATAATAATATAATATCCCTGAAACCACACACACAGCATCTGACATACATTGTATGTCAGATTATGCATGGATTTCATGGATATTTTATATTATTTGCGGGTGTCAGAGAACCGCATTAATATTGCTGGAGTCTCCAGTAAAACTTGAGATGTCTGCGGCTAGTTCATTATTTTACCATTCTAGAGGATCTGGGGATGCTTGCTCCAAACTTAATTTTTTATTACAGAGCACCAAAAAGCTAAAATGATGGCAGATTTTCCACTGTATCTCTCTAACTGGTATATAGGAAAAGTACTATGTTAAGATATAGTATTACCACGGGCCTGAACCAGTATTATGTGTCATGAGCGCACCGTACTCCAAGTGTGTGCGTTTCTTGGTTCTGGTGGTGAAGGGGTTAAATTTAACTTTTGTCTGCCCTAGACAGGAAATGATAATAAAAATTCCCCTTAACACCATCCACACTTAATTATAATAATATAACTATTACTATTTTTAATGCTGCCACCACCAAGACAATTTATAAACAGAGTGCCCTGATCCACCAAGTTAATTAAAACAAAAACCCACCAAACACAATTTAGCACAATATCTATGCAATTCCAAAACACTAATACATTTATCTCTTAAGGTAACGTGAGTCTTTACCAGACAAAAGCAGAACTTAATAAAGAAATATTTATTATGCACAAACAATAGTCACAGTGCATATAAAAATAAATGACAAAACAGATTTACACCAACAACTGCTAAAATTAACAGAAGTCCTAAATACTCACTTAGATGGCAAAGACTTAGATGGTATTTTGGGCCCAGGGGGTCTCCGGCAAGAAAAGATGGCGTCTTACTCAAAATTAGATCTTGGCCCCTAGTAAGCACACTTAATAATTGCCCATCAATTAGATTTATGCCTCCTGAATTCATCTCATGTTTTCAAGCTTGCCCAGAGGTGGTATAAGTGGATGGAAGGCATATCTTATATATATCTATTTTATATATATATATATATATATATATATATATATATATATATATATATATATATATATATATATATATATATATATATATATATATATATATAGTGTTTCTGACCAGAATTAATCCAAATAAAATCTTTGATTTTATTTACGCTGTAGTGCTTGCCACAGAAATAAAAATTGCATCTATAACTGTTACAATTTTTCCATTCCAGACATATGTCACACCTTCTACTTATGACCTAATACAATGGACTTCACAATTCCTTCCAAATGTCTTAAGCTGCGCTAGTTCTATTGATACTCTGTCAGGATCCAAAATCTAAATTCAGAACTTTATTCATTTCATTCAAGTTTGTACCAGCAGTAAATATGTTTTGCCACTAGTGGCCTCCCAAACCATTAGGTCTGAACTTTCTTCCACTAATCCTCACCTGCCTAGACTAATTACTAATCCTATAAAAGGCTTCACCCTGCTCAATAGAAGGCCTTTACATTGAAGTTGATGGTCGACCTGAAACGACTTCTTTTCCTGGCTCCTATGAACTTACCTACTTTATTACCATCCTGTTGGATACCAACCTTATCTACACTACCAAGCGTCTTTATTCCAAGCTAGGTCTACACAACAACATTCTTTACTACCAAGCATCTTTATATCAACTTGAACTAATCTACAAACCAGCCTTTGTTACCAACCTGCTTTATACTGACCTGAACTACACTATCAACCTGCTTTGTTACAAACCTGAACTACGATACAAACTCATATTGGAAAGTGTAATTTAACTGCTTTTTCAGTGCTCCTTCCAACAGGGGGCTGGTTCACTACACTTCTATTTTTTATTTTTTTTTTCAATTCTGATACTTTTCTGTTTTGTTCTGATTTGCTTGTCTTACTATATTTCCTATACTTTCAACTATAGGTATTTGATACTATCTATTAATATCTTGGTAACAACCTGTCTGTGGCATATTGCCTAATCCTCAATTTCTCTTATTTCACCTTCTTCCTTCTTACCTATAATTCCACTTATAGGTTCTCCCTCTACCTTATGCCTATAATTTCACTTATAGGTTCTCCTTCTAACTATAATCTCAATTATAGCTTCCCCTGTTACCTTATACCTGTCTGGGGCATATTGCCTAAATCTTTTTCAGTTCTCCCTTTGTCACTTACCTTACACAGTTCTTCCTTTCACTTTGGCTCGCTAGGTATTTTAAATTGTGAATAACCATGTCTAAAATGTCTAATAAAGAACCTAACATTACCCTGGCAATCGTGTTTTACCTGGCCTGCTCGAGACCATGACATAATCTTTATGTAGGATGCCATTCTAAATCTGCACAAAATAGTTATTATTAATGTTTCTTTTGGGTATGACACTGGAACACAATGGTTCTCTTGCTTGCTAATGATCATTAGCATATCAAAAGAACCCACTATCTAAATGAAGATACAGGCATATGGCAAATTAGAGAGTTAGTTTCCATTGAACTAAACTCAGAGGCAACTCATGTGTAACATTTCACACCTTGCAGAGGGGCTCTGGAGTCACAGCTTCATAGGAGTTGTAAACCTTTTTATGTCTATCACATTCCTATATACTTTAAATGAACCCCTTCTGACATCTATCCTCTACATTGAAATTGGCCATAACACCTCTAGCAAGTAGCCAATTCATGTATGCACTAGACAAATCACTTTAACCCCATCCCGACCTTGGACGTATCAGGTACGTCTGACAAAAAACGGTCCTTAAGCACCGCGGACGTACTTGATACATCCACGGCTAATTAGAACGCTGGAAGCGATCATGATCTCTTCCAACCATTCTAACGGTATTGCAGCGATGCCTCGATGTCCAGGCATCCTGCAACAGCCCCGCTCACGTAATACTAAGTGTATTTTTTTATTATATAGATATATTAATATAAAAATACACTAGGAGTAAAATTACACACACACACACACACACATATATATGTATATGTATATGTATATGTATATATATATATATATATATATATATATATATATATATATATATATATATATATATATATATATATATATATATATATATATATATAAATAATTAAACATAAATACATTTTTTAAAATAATAAAAAAATTAGAAAAAAATTATGTCATTTTATTCTAACTGTATTTTGATATTAATATATATTTTTATAAAATACAGTTAGAATGAAATTATATATATAAATGTCTATATCTATAAATAAATATAAATAATACAAAATATACATATGTCCATATACATAATTACATAAATAATTTCATAAATATAAACGTAGACTTCAAATATATATATATATATATATATATATATATACACACACATATATAAAATACAGAATCCAGCGCACTCGCTTATTCACTAAACAATGCTTTCAAAATTTTAGAGATTGTA